GGATGGATGGATGGATGGATGGATGGATGGATGGATGGATGGATGGATGGACAAATACCGTTCCAGGCTGACCAATGAGCACCTCCACACATGCATGAGAATGGCTCTGACTCCATTCAAGCCCAGGTTTAAAATTCTGGCAGGACGAGCAAGAGCTCACTTCTCTCACTGAGCACAAAATAAATAAGGGACTGCATAAAAATGTTCTGTTWTTAAATGTGTTCAGATTTAAATTCTTAAAATATTTTCAGACAGTTCAGTCCAGGTGTTAAACACAAAAATGTAAATCAACCTTTTCCTCCATTTTTTGTATGACTGGTTAGTCACTTGTGAACATTTACAGTTGTCCTTTTGCCCAAGTTCTTATTTTGACATGTTATCCTACATTTGCTCAGTAAATGAGAACATCAGAAATCAGACGTAAATGTTCAACTTTGTGTTTCGTGACAATAAATATTGTAAGTTTTTGAATAAGAGTGAATTCATTTCAATGTATGCAGATGGTGATACAACAATAGCTACACACAAACGCACACACATATATCAGTTTGACATTTTGATCTTCCGGACCTTGGTCTCATAAAATGTTCTCTGACTGGACCTCGTTAAATTTTAATTGAATACCCCTGGTCTAGGTGTTTTATCACTGTGGTCACAGCACATCAGAGTCGTGGGTACAACGCAGGGTTCAATAAGGTTTTTTTATTTTACCGGCCCTGCCCTGTTTATTGAAGATGTTTTTGATAAAACAATTGACTGACTGTTAGTGACTCAGTCTGCAATGTTTGCATCTGCTAAATCAGATGTCATATGTACCTCTGTAACCATGTTAATAGTTTTAGCTCAGGTCATGTTAATAGTTTTTTGTAGTACAAATACAATACATGTTTTTCTTATATTTTATCAAATTTTGAGCATTTTTGTTTCGGGCAGGTAACCTTTCATGTTGGGCAGGTGACATTTTTCGTCACCTACCTGACATGAAAGGTTACCTGCCCGAATATGAGTTTTACCTGCCCCGGGCAGTTGGGCAGTATTTGTGGAACCCTGGTAGAACGTGTGGTGGCAGAATATTCATGGCCTGATGGGGGGCCACGCTCAGCAGCTAGGATTAGAAACTAGCCCCGCTGGCCTCATGTTAGGACTATAACCCTGTCACAAGCGCACTGCTGGGAGAGCTCCAGGGAAGGTTGATGCTCTCACTACAGCCAATAGGATCACACCACTGCAGTGACCAAACCACAGCTTCCATGCACCAGTAAAAACAGCTGGTTGGTTCTGTCTGGTTGGACTCATAACAGGTTCAAGTCATTTCCTGAAGTCCTGTATGACGTCGTCTCCCTGGAGACGGTGTTGCTGGGAAACAATCAGGTGTGCGGAGTGGATCCTGGACACCTGAGAAAACTGGTCCACCTGTCAACTCTGGATCTGTCGAACAATGACCTGCTGAACATCCCTCCAGAACTGGGCCTGTGTACCAACCTCAGGTAAAACAGCTGTCAGTCTCATGCAGCGAGTCCACAAACAGTCAAATCTGAGAAATGTTCTTTGTATTTGTTATTTCACACTTTGTTAATGTGTGTGTGTGTGTGTGTGTGTGTGTGTGTGTGTGTGTGTGTGTGTGTGTGTGTTGAACCTCAGGTGCCTGAGTCTAGAGGGGAATCCTTTCCGCACACCCAGAGCAGCCATAGTGGCCAAAGGAACTGATGCAGTGTTGGAGTACCTGCGCAGCCGCATACCTGCGTGACCTCTGACCTCACCTGACACCTGTCTGTGGCTTCTCACTGCCTCGTCTTTAATCTGATCCAGTCTAAGGTTTACAGGACTGACACACTATCTGCGTTTGGAACGAAGTTTACTTTCTGTCCTCACCTGGACTGTAGAGGATAAAATGATTTGGTTAATCTTTTTCTCCATGAAAAACACATTTCTCCTAATAAAGTTGTTTTTATTTCTAACAGTGAGGAACATTTTGTTGTTTTATTTACATCTGCAGAGTTAGAAAAGCTGTGAGTGAAGAACTGGTTCCAGTCAGAGGTTCATCTGACAACAAAGGTTTTATTTATTTATTTTTTTCAGAACTTGATTTTTTAAATTTAATTTAATCAGAAAAATAAATATACTCAGGAACATTTTTATTTTATTGTTTTACATTTCTGATTTCAAGGTTCTGTTGGACAAAAGTCTGGTCCCATTGAGCCTTCTGGGTTCTGGTCTTGATGGGTTCAGGTCTGGTCCCACTGAACTATGTGAGTTTAGTTCCTCTTGGGTTTAAGTCTCATGAGCTCAAATTCTGCTGGATTCTGGTCTTGCTGTGTTTGTGTCCTATTGGGCTCGGATTCTTCTGGATTTTGATCCTGGTTCTGGCCCCACTGGATTTCTGTCATGGTAGGCAGTTTCTGCTGGGCTCGGTTCCAGTCCCACAGACTCCTGAGCTCTGGTCCTGTTGAGTACAGGTTCTGCAGGTCTCAGGGTCTGATCGGCTCAGGTTCGGTCCATGACTGCAGCCTTTCAGCAGAGAACGCGCATCCAAATCTCCGCGCGCGCCTGAAGGTCACGAGCGGCTTTTGGCGCTGCGGTTCAATACCGCGCATGCGCAGTGCCAGGGGACCGAAATATGGCGAGAATGTCTGGCAGCGGGTCCTCAAATCCGGACCGGGAGAGTCCGGAGAGGGGCGGAGATGAGGGGGATGAGGAGGAGGATGAAGATGAGATCCTGGAGGTCCAGGTCCCCGTGGTTGATGAGTCCAGAGGCCCAGCAGCTGTCCTGACGCAGAACATGGACCAAGGACTTGGGGGCTCACTCAGCAGCACGGGTCTCTCTGGGTTCGGGTCCAGTGAAGACCTTCAGCGGTCAGAACCGAACAGGCTGAGTGAGAACACCCGGCTGGCCACCCGGTACGCGGTCCGGATCTTCAGAGAGTACCTGAGTGAGAAAGCCCAGAGTCCGGACTTTGAGAGTCTGGATAAGGACTCTCTGTGCGCGCTCCTGCGCTCCTTCTACGCGGAGGCGCGCTCCAAGAGCGGACAGGTCTACAGCAAGTCCTCCCTGATCAGCATCAGGAGCTCCCTGAACCGGTACCTCAACGACCCGCCCCACTGCCGGACTCTGGACCTGACCAAGGACCCGGAGCTGCGCAGCGCCAACCTGACCCTGGCCGCCGTGATCCAGAAGCTGGAGGAGCACGGAGCCGGTCCGGTGGTCCAGAAACAAGCCATCACCCGTTCGGACCTGCGGAGACTCTACGACTCCTCAGTGTTCGGAACCGAGACCCCGTTCGGACTGCTGAACAAGGTCTGGTTCGAGACCTGCATGTACTTCTGCACCCGGGGCCGAGAGAACCAGCGGGAACTGGAGGAGGACTCCTTCGGTCTGGCCGTGGACCCACAAGGACGGAGGTTCATTTATCTCAAGGCTCTCGGACCGGACCACCAGTCCCGCTCTTCCACTTGGACCAGGAGGCGCTCCGAACCAGACCGGGACCTGCCGCGGATGTACGAGACCGGCACAGAGCAGTGTCCGTACGCCAGCTTCGTCCGGTACCGGTCCAAACGGAACCCGCTGTGCAGGGCCTTCTTCCAGCGGCCCCGGGACCACTGCTGCCCCAGTGACGTCACGTGGTTCGAGAACAAAGCCATCGGGAAGAACCTGCTGGGCACCAGGATGCAGGTGTTGTCGCGCGCCGCCAAACTCTCCCAGACCTACACCAACCACTGCATCGGAGCCGTCTCCATAGCAACGCTCCACAGCATCGTGGCCGCCGGCCCGGGCCACGAGCCGCACCGGGTCACCGACGGTTCCGGTCTCCTGCTGACAGTGACCAGGGTCAGAACGGACAGGGGGTCCGGAACCCCTCCCGCCAAGAAGCTGCGCCTGCGTCCCGGGAAAGTCCTGAAGCCGGAGGTCCGGACCCGGGTCCTGGAGACCTCTCAGGTACCAGAACCAGTGCTGTTTTCTATCAGCTGTTTGTTTCTGACTTTATTTATGTTTCTGACAAATTCTTATTATAACTAACTTCATTCAGCCATAACATTATGACCACTGACAGCTGATAACACTGTGTGTGTGCTCAGTCATTGTGACTTGTAGTTGTGTGTGTGTGTGTGTGTGTGTGTGTG